ACCATTACTGCCCCAACCGAGCCTGCCTCCCCACTCACTCTCCCTACCCCCTTGCCCCTCCATCCCCAGCCCATCCAGGCAGGCAGCTTCCTAAGGCTTATTCCAGCTGCCCACACCCAAAGCAGTCACTAAAACCACCCTCACCCACCCCAGCCCCTGGCAACCACCAATCTGCCTCTGTGTCTCTGGATTTACCTACTGAGGGTGCTTCTATCCTAACGGAATCATAACCCTGGGGGTTTCTTAAAATTAAGTGGGTGCCAGGGTCTTGGCATGAGGCTTGGTCTGCAAGTGAGAGAGCACCCTCTGAGCTATCTGGGTTCCAAGCTGGATGGGTGGCAGGGGAGCTCCTGCGGACAAGGGGCTCACAAAGTCATCTCTAGGGTTATTCCTGGACCGCTGGGAGCCATCTGCAGCCTCCCTTCATCCCACGAGGCCCTCACACCCTCTGGCCCTGCCGGCTCAGCACCTGTACCAGGCAGACACCCAGGCCTTGCTCTCTGGGTGTCTCTGAACCCTGGCCCCATCCCGCCCTCCACCTCAGTCCTGCCCTGGCTCCCTGTAACAGGGTGCTCAGCCTCTTCGGGGCCTGATCCCCAAAGCTTCAACTTAGATTTGCTCCCGACAATGAGTGCCTGCGTGCGTGTGCGTGTGCGTGCGTGCGTGTAAATGCATCCCAGGGCTGGGTTTTCTCTAGAACAGGCTGTGGGTGTGGGCCCCAGGGGGCTCGCCATCAAGAGCAAGGGCTTCAGACTGCTTCTCTGGGTGGAAGAGACTCCGTGCCCCTTTCCAAACTGGCAGTCTTTCACAACTCCAGCCAGGAGCCAGGAGCCACCTGTCAGGCACAATTACAGCCCCCTCGCCTGCTGGGCGGACCCCACCTTGACTGGGGAGGGGAGAGGATGTGAGGTGAGGGGCACTGGGTCTACAGAGCCCACATCCTGACCCTGGGTCCTCAAGTCCAAGGTGGACTGCCCAGCCCCGGGGATTTCTTGATGGCAGGAAGCGGCTGCCCTCCCCCAAAGCCGTATGGCCACGCTCTATCCGGCCCTGCTCCCGGAAGGATGAGCAAGTGGCACAAGGGGGGGTGCCCATCATCGTGGCTGAGGAAGTGGACTGGCTTGTCCCAGATGCAAACCCCAAACTTCTCCTTCGGTCCCTAGGAATCTCAATCACTTCCGCTTTCAAAGTAGCCAGGACCCTGGGTGACTGGACCCAAGGTACACTCACTCCACCTGCCCCCTACTGCCTCAGCACTGGGAGGCTGCCTCCACCAGGATGCTCTCCTCACCTGCACTGGCCCCTTCTGGCTGTTTCTCAAAAGTATACCACGTAGGCCTGGCCTAGAGTGGACTGCGGGTTTTGCAGTCTGGGTTGGTCTGACCTCCCAACTGAGGGAGCCCTAGGCCCACACACAACACAGAGCGTTGGAACAAATTCAAGAAGGCTCTCACATGACAGATGCCCCCAGGGGCACTGAGACATAGAAGCTGGCCCATACCTTCCCTCTGTGCCCCCCACTCCACCTCCAGCCCCAATCCATACTGTGAGATCCAGCTTACCTCCTCCAGGATCCTTGACGTATCCTGCACCTAGAAAGTGAAGGTGGCCACGTCCACAGCGAGGAGGTGGTGGCGGGAGGGAGGAGAGGAGGGTCACAGCCACCATTAATGGCAAGCAGCGCACCCCAAAACCAGACCTGCCCTGGGCCAGGCCAGACACCAACCCACCGGGCATCAGGGCGCAGAGCAATCAACAGAAACCAGCTCCATCGGGGTTGGGGTCTGTGTCTGCTGCCCACACACCCCCTCCTCACCCCTCAGCTGCAAGAAGAGAGGGTGACAAACACCGATGCAGAGGGCCCGGTGAGACAGCTAAAGATGTGCCTCCTGACTGGCACCTTTGAGAGTGACGGAGAAGGTAATGGGCAGGTCCAGGACCCTGGGGCGGCAGTGGGTGTGTGGGCCTGGAGGAACCAAGAAGGGGGCATGAGGACTGGAAACTGAGGCAGGGTGGGAAGGGCTTGGGTGCTAAGAGTGACCTCGTGAGTGGGGGGGGCTTCCAAAAATCTCTCAAATGACCAGGCCTCCCAGCTGTACCCGAGCTTGGTCTCAACCAAGTTTCCTGGAAGAAATGGCCTGGGGGGTAGGAGGTGGGGTGGGGTGGGGCAAGAAAAACCTACCTGTTTTACCAGGACTCTGGGGAGAGGGAGGAGAGTAGCCATGAAGTCCTAATTGGGGGGGGTGGGGGTGGAGGCCACGGTGGGAGGAAGGGTGACAAGGAGCTGGTGAGTGGGGTCTAAATCAGTCTGAAGCTCAGGGGTGGGTGAGGATCATTCAGAGGGCTGGTTAAGACCCAGGCTGCTAGACCTCAGTGGGTTTGAATGGAACCCTAACAACCTATGCTCTGACACTACCGCAGGTGATGCAGCTGCTGCATGGTGTGGTGGGGGTCTACTCTGAGGGGCACACTGAGGGGTGCACTTTGAGGGACACACTTTGAGGGGTTCCCTTTGAGGGACACACTGCAAGGGGTGCACATTAAGGGGTGAACTTTGAGGGACACACTGAGGGGTGCACTTTGAGGGACACACTTTGAGGGGTGCACATTGACAGGTGCACTTTGAGGAGGTGCGCTTTGAGGGGTACACTTTGAGGGGCACACTCTGAGGGCGTGCACTTTGAGGGGGTCCACTCTGAGGATGCTGTTGTTCCCAGTCTTGGCTGCCCATCAAATTCCTCGGGGCCACTTTGAAAGGACACTCTGGGCCCCTCTCCCAGAATGCGTGTGTCACTGGTCGGCATGACCACAGGTCCCTGCATTGGGGGACCCTGTGACCCCACCCAGGTCCTTCTCTGCTTGAGGGTGTTATCAGGGCCTGTCTGTCCCTCCCCCACCCCCACCCCACCCCAGCGCAGGGTTCTACAGACACAAGGAGAAAAGTGGAGAGCAAGACTGACCTCAAAACCAGGAATGTGGTGGATGGCCGGCTGGGGGTGCAAAGAAGAGAGCCCGCGTCACATGTTTGTTACCTACACTCCCCCTGCCCTGCCTCCTGCCCCACAGAACAGCATGTCTCCAGAGAGACTAATGAAACACGTCCTTGATCTGGAGCAGAGGGTGTGCTGCCTCTATTCCCTGGGGGTCTGGGGCCGGGGAGCTGAGGGGAGCAAGGTACACAAGAGGGAGCCGGATGGGCAGTGTGCTGTGCACGCTCAGACTGTGTGTGTGTGTCTCCAAGTTACACACTGGGGTTCACGTCAAACAACTGGCAAGTCTGAAGACAGGAAGCTAAACCCAACACCCCTGTTCTGCAGCAGGCCCAGGGCCCTGCAGCCAGACCACCACGGCACAGCTGGCACTAGAGGGGATACCCTGTCCTCACCTGCCACTCTCCCTGCCACCCGCTCCCTACCACCCCACAGAGGCCCACACCATGAGAACCACAGCATCGAGTGACCCCGTGAAGAATAAATCCCATGCCATGGGACTCAGACCTTCTAGCATGTGCCCCTCGTGCCCTTATGTTAGGTCATGCCCTAACCTGGGGATCAGGAAAGATGAGCAGGGCCAAACCCAGCAGATCTGTCTCCCAGAGAGGGCCCTGCAGTGATGCCCACCAAGCCCAGGCCCCTGGTGGCACAGGACAGGACGGGGGCAGCTCCTCCCACCCATGAGGCCTTCCCTGCCCTGTGCCTCCTTCCCAGTCTCCCCCCATCCCACCCCACCCCACCCCCAGGAGGGCCAGCCTCACCTTCTCTCTCTGAATGAGCTCAAAGGAGGCCAGCAGCTCGCCCGCCCCCTGGCTGCCCCGGGTCAGCGGGAACCAGGCCAGCCGGGGCATCCGCTCCAGACTCGGTTGACAAATGCAGCGTCCCAGAAACTCATCTGCCCCCTAGGCCAGTGGGGAGGAAGAACCGTCAGGTTGTGGGGAGCCCCGGAGAAGACATGGCCACCATCCAGTCACCTGGCTGCTGTGAAGCCTCTGCATAGCCGGCTCAAGGGGCCTCTGCTCACATTTACTCAGCTCCGGGCCTTCCAGCATCCCCCAAAGGCCCTCAGCCAGCGGGGAAGAGGTTTGCAGATTCCCCAGAATTCCCACACGCCCCATTTCATTTAACGATGCCCTTCTCCCAAAGGAGGCCGGAGCTCACACTCAATGGAAGGTGCCCTGCTAGAGTGTTGCTTCCATCTGGTCATCCGTCACTCAAGCACCTGCTGTGGCTCCCAACTGCCGGGAAGACGGAGCCCAAAGTCCTCTCCTAGACCTGAAGGCCCTCTCACCATCACCTGCTTCGTCTCTCCCCCTCCAACCCGCTGGTCACTGCCGGCATACCTGCCACCCGCCTCTGCCAGGGCCATTGTCCACTGCCAGACTGCCTTGCCCACTCCTCAGTCATCGTTTGTGGTCCCTGGGCATGGGGCTCTGTGATCTGACCTGTGGTCAGCTCCCTCCACAATGTGGCAGTGGACAGAGCCAGCCAGGTGGCGCCACGGCCCTCAAAACCCCCATGTCTGGTCCTGCCTGCAGTCACTCTGTCCAACTGGGAGCATCACAGACACCATTCTGAATGGCCACTCAGCCCATACATAAATGCCACCCACGCGGGCGAGAGGCCAGCATGGGCACTGACTACTCAAAGGGGAAACTGGCCACGGGGAAGGGGATTGGGGGCCCTGTCTTTTGGGTCCTGGGTCCTGGGTCCTGCAGAG